AGAAGAAAGGAACAAACTCAAAAAATGTAACATCATAACACAAAAGAATGCCAAGCACGAGAATTATAACACTTAAACCCTTTTTGAGTCATGGAATAGCCAAGAAAGACACAATTAGTGGATCTAGCATCTAACTTGTCCATTCCAGGCCCAAGATTATGAACGAAACACACGCATCCAAAAACTCTGGGAGTAAGGGGAAAAGGAGACAACGTAGGAAACATAACAGAGAAAGGGGACTGACCTTCAAGGATAAACATGGGCATGCGGTTAATAAGAAAGTAGGATGTAAGTACAACATCACTGCAAAAGGGTTTGGGGACATTCATCTGATGTAAGAGGGACCAAGTAGTTTCCAAAAGGTGACGATTCTTTCTTTCAGCCMCCCCATTTTGTTGAGGAGTGTAGGTACATGAGGTTTGATGGATAATGCCATGTTGTTCCAAATATTATTGAAAGGGTGTGGAAAAATACTCGCGGTCATTATCAGAATGAAGAATTTTAATATGTACACCAAATTGATTGCGAATTTCAGCATAAAATTTCTGAAAGATAGAAAACAATTCACTATTATATTTCATAAGGTAAAGCCATGTCATCCTTGAGTAATCATCAACAAAAATTACAAAGTACTTGTAACCATTATAAGACACTACTCTGTTTGGACCCTAGATGTCCGAATGGACTAAAGAAAAAGGACTCGATATACGACTATCAACTCTAGGACTAAAGGAGACACGATGATGTTTCCCAAACTGACACAACTCACAATTTAAATTAGAAAGACAACTCAACGATGGAATAAGTAACTGAAGAGCTCTAAGAGATGGATGACCAAGTCTACAATGACACTGATGAGGGGAGAGAGATGAATGAAGAGTTGTTGCCGAACCACCTCCATCAAGATAATACAGTCCACCAACTTCGTGCTCTCCACCAATCTTCATCCACGTCTTGAGATCCTGAAACACACAAGAGGAAGGGTAAAAATTTATTGAGCAATTAAGAGACTTGGTCAATTTACTAACAGACATCGGGTTAAAGGGAAACTTGGGAACATATAAAATTGAGAGAGGTAATGAGTATGTGTCAACATTACCAACACCACATATGGTTGATGTAGAGCCATTGGCAAGAGTAACAAATTGGGAAGTCGAGGACGGAGAAATGGATGAAAACACACATGGAGTTCTAGTCATATGATCGGAAGCTCCAGAATCTATAATCCAACGGGAAGGTGTGGATGCTAGACAAGCTGTCTGTGTGTGCAAGGGTAGCCGTGTTCTATCGAGATGTACCCTAAATGAACTGCTCATACTCATCCCGTGAAACACTCGCCATCTCCTTTCTGGAAGTATCTGTAGATGTAGTGGGGATCTGATCAGTAACTTGAGATTCTTGTCTTGAGCTACCACCATTTACWGHTGCATGATTTGCCCARGTTGAWGGTGGGCCATGTAGATCATAGCAAAAGTTGATAGTATGTCCCTCCATACCACAATGAGTATACCTTCTCTGAGTATTACCACATCCCCTACCACGGGCTCCCCCTGAGTCTCGTCCTCCAACACGACCACCACCACAATTATACATGCCACCACCACTACCACAACCATGCTGACCTCCTCTACCACCATGACCTCCCCCTCTCGTAACTGCAAATGCAGACCTATCTGACATAGTGGAAGTCTCTGTGGGTCCAACTGAAATCCTCCGAAGACGAGCAAACACTTCCTCAAGAGAGGGAAGAGAAGATCCACCTAGTATTTGTGCCCTTACGGGTTCATACTCAGACTTCAGCCTTACTAAAAATCTGGTCACATCTAACTGCTCTCTCTGTTGTTGCTGAATTTTGACATCAGGTGTAAGAGGATGATAAACATTCAACTCATTTCGTAAATTTCTCATACTAGCATAATAGTCCTCAAGACTCGGATTCCCTTGTTTCAGATTGAAGTACTCTTGGTACAATTGGTAAACCCTAGTAGTGTTATCTTGTCCAAAATATAGTTTCCTTGCATGATCCCAGACTTCCTTGGCTGTATCTAAAAATATGAAGTTCACGCTAATTTTGGACTCCATACTGTTCCATAGCCAAGTCATAATTTGAGCATCCTCCTGCTCCCATTCATCATATCCTGGATAATCAATTGGGGGTTTATCTTCCCTCACATGTTTCACTTTCTTTTTGGCTTTCAGGAAAACTTCAACAGACTTAGCTCAAGGGACATAATTCTCACCATTCAGTTTTATAGAGGTCATYTGCACATTCAGATAATCARAAGGCACYATCACACTTGATTTGTATTCACTGCTGTCTCCCATGACTGCACAAGAAAACAATGGGAAGCTGTACCACTAAATTGTTACTCTACTGCCCTAATAATTCACCACACTCCACACGAATGACTGAGCACCACTAGGGTTCCTAGTACCAGGTTTCAGCAACAACACTCACAACTATTCACCACTGTTTCAGCAACAATATTCTCAACTGTTCACCACTTTTAGCAACGACACTACTGTTGCCGTCTACTGTCAACACTAGAAACCCTCACAACACACTTCACGAATAGGATATTCAGTTCTGCAGCATATAAAAAAAACTTGCTACATACCACAACTTAGTTCGAAGATCATGTACCTGTCGAGTAGAGGGTACCAAGTCTGCACTGTCACCATCACAAAACCATCCCTCTTCGAATTGCGAGTAGAGGGTTTTCTACCAACCACACAAAACCACGACTGCACTCATTGGAGGCATGGAAACCCCCAAAAGGAGAAAAAGACCAGTCCTTTTCTTTCTTTYTGGAAAACTCTCTAGGTATCAATGAGAATTCTGCAAAACCCTAGAAAGGAATGTGCAGAACAGAGAGAAAAGGAGACAACTGATCTGAACTGATTATCATGGCTTTAATACCATGATAAAACTCAGACAAGATGTTCATATAAGTTCAGATCAGAAGAAAGAGAAGGAGAAGAGAGAGAAGAAGAAGAAGAAGGAGAAAAGGTCAAAGCCGAATTAGAGGGAAAAATTCAAATCCCTCTAGTCGGCCCTTCTTTTATTTATACTCTTCTAAGGTATACAAGAATTACCATTGTGCCCTCACTTAAGTGAGAGCCACATCAGCTGAACAATACATATATAACTAAACATAAAAGGACTATACTACCCTTGTACAGCCATAGGGGTACTCATAACCCGGTTGTAATTCACTGTATGTTCTTGTTTATTTTAATGAAATACTTCCTGTTATCTATAAAAAAAAGAAATGGATTTCTAAGCATAGATAAAAGTGGCATTATACCCAATGCTACCCATCCTAACCATTGTTTTGAAGGCCATACTTGCCATCGATAACCTGATGCTGCAGGTAGTTTTATTCCTTAGGAAATTTCCCGAGAACTTTGCTTGGAGGTAAGTGTTTCTATCCTCATCATTCCTTACCTAGCTTGCCATCCTCATTCTCATTGCCAATGGTTTTCTAGTTGAAAGGGTGGTATTTCATAGTGTATTCAAGTTCCTATTAAAAAAACCCTTATAATCTCTACAACTGGGGCTTTTTGTTGGCCTCTAGGAAAGCGTTTTGATCTTTTTGGGTGTAGGTGGACAGAACCAATGTAGGTTTGCAACCTCTTTGACCCCACAACTTTCAAGTGGCCAAAGAAAAGAGGTAGAGTCCTGTGGGAGTGTGCGAGAGCTGTTATGGTGTGGACTGTTTAGGAGGAAAGGAATGCCAGAATTTTCAATGATAAGGAGAGGGATGAAACTGGGTTGTGGGAAAGTATATTAAATAGGGCCATAAGTTGGGCAAAGTCATTGGAACTGTTTTTGCCTTTCTTCTTTGATGACCTATGTAGGAATTGGTAGCAAATTGCCAAAAGCTCTGCTGTTAGAATTAAGCCTTTGGTGGAGTGGAAACCTCCTGAAGAAGGTGTTATTAAATTAAATTTTGATGGCAGCAGACTAGGTAACGTAAGGCTGTCTGGAATTGGGGGAGTTTTCAGAAATGCTAAGGGCCGGATCATAGCTTTATATTCTGATCCTATTGGTGTGGGAGATTCAGTTAATGCAGAAGTCCAAGCCGTTCTAAAAGGAGCAGAGATTGAGAAGGAGCTGGCAATGGAACACTTAATCATTGAAGGTGACTCTAAACTGGTTATTGGGTGGTTAAAGGAGCTGGAGATTGCAGCCTGGTGGTACTATAGAGCGGCTTTGAGAAGGTTCAGGTGGTTAACATCAAATATATCCAGTCACAGTTCAATGGGAAAGAAGATCGGCAAATGAGTTGGCAGATTTTTTATCCAAACAAGGGGTGCATAGGAATCAACTTTTTTGGGCTCATTCGTAAGCTTTATGTTATAGTTTAGAGGCTGCACCTCGCGCTTCTTTGTGGGGATTTTGTAATATGTATCCTTTGTGTTTTTTATTAATAAAATTACTCATATCTATAAAAAAATCGCTATGACTGGGGCTTTGTACATTGATATACAATGTATACTAGTAGGTTAGAGAAACTTTGGAAGTTGATATGATCTCATAGATCCTTTCCCCTAATAACATGGTACAGTTCCTTTTCCATGCCACTAAGGGGCTGTTTGATAACAGCTGAAGTTGACTGAAAACATTGCTTTATCTTTTAGTGAATTATAGTATTAAATAATAAAATAATCAAGAGTATGGTAATCTACCGAACTTCAGCTTCAGCCATTAAGGAGCCCACAACCTCCTTAAAAACTTATTCACTAAAAGACAAGGCAAAACTTTTCAGTTCAGCTACTTCATCTGTTATCAAATGGCTCCTGACTTTTTGAGAATCTTTCACCACTGTTTTCTAGAATTCCATTGACATAGGACTTCGGAGGAAATCCTGTATCATTAAATATATTTAATTCCCTTTTCATACCTTATCTGCCAGAATGATTTTGCTTTAGATTAACTAGATTATTTACTAATATCTGTTTCTTTTTCTCTGATTATAAACTGCACTATTTTGTAGAGAAGAGCTCCATGCCTGTTGCTGAACAATGTGCATGGGCACTGGGAAATGTTGCTGGTGAAGGAGAGGAGCTAAGAAATATTTTGTTGGCGCAAGGAGCTTTACCACCCCTCGCAAGAATGATGCTGCCAAATAAGGGTTCAACTGTTAGAACAGCTGCTTGGGCCTTGTCAAACCTAATCAAGGTTATTTTCTTACTAACTGTTGGAACAATTGTTAGCCTTGTTTTTTATAACCTATGATATCTATGTATCTCTATATGGGTGTCATGTAATATTGGCCACCTCAGCTTTTTAGTGTAAATTCCTTGCATAATCTTGTCTGTTATGTCCTTGTTGTATCCGATATCATAGTTCATAACAGCCAAGAATCAGAACATGCACAAAACTGTTCTCCTGTTAATAGTTTTATTTTAGAGGTCTGGCTATTTGATGCAATCGACTTTTTAAAAATGTCATCTGTACAGGTTTTCATTGTGAATCTATGAAGAAAAGACTTCCAGGTTTTAATCCAAATAAGGACTTCCCAAAGGCTATCAGAACTCTAGGTGATTTGCTGATTGGGCTGAAAAAGAAGAATGGAATAAGATAGGCCAAGCTGTAAATTTTAGGCCCTGTTCATAACCTTGTATCTTGGAAATAAACTGGGCAAACGGCTCTTTATATCTTGGTTCAAATTTTGTTTCAGTGTTAATTGCGAGTTCTATCACAAATACTTGAAGCAATAGCATGAATAAATTAAAAAACAAACATATTCTATTTTATTTAAAGTAACTAGAGACACAAATAAACAAATAAAGCTTTATTGATCCAAAAAAAAAACAAATAAAGCTTTAAAATGAGTTTGTGGTTAACTAGGATTACTAGTCATTAATTGACTAGTCAATTTAGTTGATGCTTAGCCGTTCTTGCCTTCTAGGTACTGCAGCATGAGTATTGGCCAACTAGTTAGTGTTGCAGTCTATCTGGCCCTAAATTAACTAGTTAGTCGACCAGTCAACAACTAGTTGACACTGATAAAACTGTCTTTAAGAAGGTATTAAGCATTATGGCTCTCATGATCTATCAAATCCTCATAGAAAACCTAATCCCAGGAAAGACCATTAGGGGAATGCTAGGCACAGGGGTTTTATTTATTTAATTTTTTATAGTAAAGGTAAAATTCATTAAAAGAAAAAAAAAATGAGCATACAAGAGTAAGGTGATAAGAAATCACCTGAGAGAAGAAAGAACAAAAGCTAATACCCCTTGACAATAGACACACAATACATTCATCCCCAATCACAGATTAGAAAACCAGAACTGCCATCAACAAACAAGAGACAACTGACTCCTCCCAACCCCTCTAGAACAGTTCCTCCTATAGCCACACCTTATGACACTGTCAAACTCTTATATGTTGGTTGGTGAATCAAGATGTAATTTCTTGGAGGGTTAGATCAATGGTAAGGCAGGCACAATCTCTAGGTGCTACCTTGAATACCTCATTCAACTGGATACCTAGAAGTGCTAATATGATGCTAGATGCCTTGGAAAAAGCAGGGGTATTAAGGGAACATCTAAAGTGGGGTTTTCCAGGGCTGGGTTGCAATCTGTAATCTGTAACAGTTTTTTATTTTGTATCCTTAATTTGTATTAGATCTCCATTCGTTTGGGAGCTACATTATATCTTTTGGCCTGCTGCTTCTTTTGGTAAGCAGTGTGGTGGTTTTCTATTAATGAAATTTACCTGTTACTTTTAAAAAAAAATCCTTTTCTTTCTCTGGTTCCTTAAACAGTGACAGGAAGTAAATGGGTAGGTTTGAGAAGGTGGGTTTTATTAGAGTTAATCTCCAGCCAATTGAAATGAAGTTCTTCCATGCTGCCAATCTCTTGGTAAATCTTTCAATAACCCCTTCTCAAAAGCCTACCAGCTATGCCCTTTTCCTAAACATGATATTTTCTTTAACCTCAAATGCTGACTCTATCACTCTATATCTTCCCTCTGTGATACCACATCCTTTGCAAATTGACCTTCAACCTTTACCCTATAGTAAGCATCATCACTATGAAAATTATCTTCAAGATTTTTGCCATCACCTTCAAAAACCTCAAAGTACAATGCTTCACCAGCAAAGTACAATTCATTGAATGAAGGAATAAGAGAAGGATAAGCTGCCAGTTTGGATGGACTGTTTAGCCCCTCTGTTTTGAGTAGCACAAAAAAAGAGGTAGGATTTTGTGGAGTTGTTCAAGGGCAGCAGTTTGTTGGACAGTGTGGGAAGAAAGAAACGCATGAATCTTCAAGGAGAAGGAGAGAAGCTTGGAGGTGCCAACTGATTGTATTACTCTTAAAGTTGCTCATTGGGTAAGAACCTTGAAACTTTTTTCAGACTTTGGAGTGGAGGATATTTTCTGGAATTGGGGAGCAGTTGTGAGATCTTCCTCTAGGAAACAAAAACCTCTAGAGGTCTGGTCTCCCCCAATGGTTAGTTGGAAGAAGCTGAACTTTGATGGTAATAGTATGGGTAACCCAGGTCCCTCAGGTATTGGAGGGGTTATGTTAAGACCGCTGAAACAGAGCAACAGAAGACAGTTAGTCAGCTCTACAAGAGAAGGCCACGTCAGCACAACAGCTCAGCTAACTAACCGTCCACTTGCAGCAGTTTTAACATAAAGGAATTAAAGAATGTAAGGAGCTTTGTAAAACAGTATAAATAGTCAGACACAGGGGAAATAAAGGCATGGATCTTTTGGCATTATTTCTTTCTCTTTCTCTCTCTCTCTCTCTCTCTCTCTCTCTCTTTCTCCCTCTTCCCTACCATCGGATTTAGGAGGTTGGCTCCCTCGAAGAGCCCTGAGTTAGGCAGGTTCCTAATAAGTTGGTATCAGAGCCAGCGTGACCAACACAAGGACAACGTCAGTAGATGCCTGGGTAGATCAGATGGAAGTAGAGATCCATCGAATGTCCTCAGACCTCAAGGAAATGAAGGAAGGTTTCACCGCTCTCCTCAATCGGTTGGAGCAGATGTCAACGAACAACAACAAAGGAAGCCAAGAGGAGCATAGCAATGAAAACAACTGTAGAACAGGGCCGACGACAACGAGAGCAGCAAAAATTGACTTCCCCATCTTCTTAGGCGGCGACCCGACTCCCTGGATTCTCAAAGCCGAGCGATATTTTGATTACCATGAGACACCTGGGCAAGACAAGGTGGCTCTAGCTTCGGCGCATCTTGAGGGGGAAGCTATCCTATGGTATCAATGGTACCGACGGGGGCACCCTCGTCAATCTTGGGCAGACTTAACTGATGCCATGACCATCTGTTTTGGATCGTTTGGGGTTCGAAGATCACGATGAGAATCTTGCAAAACTGCGACAGATGGGATCGGTTAAAGATTACCAGATGGAGTTTGAAAAACTGATCGTGCGAGTCCAAGGGTGGACGGAAAAGGCGCTAGTTGGAAGCTTCGTTGACGGCTTGAAGGAAGAACTATGGCTGGAAATAAACGCGATGCAACCTACTTCGGTCATAAATGCAGCAACACTAGCAAGACTATATGAAGACAAGTTCACTCGAGCAAGGAGGGTACATCGGCCATGGGGTCCGATAACCAGGACGGCATCACCGGACAAGGAGGGGGATTCTGACCCAGGACGGCAGCATCGGCCATGGGGTCCCATCGGTTCTGCTACAACTATGAAGAGAAATTCGGGCCGGGCCATCGGTGCAAGAAACAACAAGCATTTCTCCTTCAAACGGAAACCGAAGAGGAAGATGAGTTCACCGGTTGTGGGGAATCTGACCTTGGATGGGAATTACAACCCAATGGGACACCTGAAATATCTCTACAAGCCCTTATGGGACTTGCGTCCCCGCAAACAATGAGAATAGTCGGGTTAATCCAAAGGCGTCATGTGCCAATCCTTATAGACAGTGGCAGTTCCCTTAACTTCATAACTCAAGTCTTGGTGGATAAAATGGGGCTCCCAGTTCAACCAACAATGGCTTTTACGGTACATGTGGCCAATGGTAATAGCCTATCTTGCAATAGTATATGCATGGGCTTACCACTAAAGGTTCAGGGTCACCAGTTTTCGGTGGACCTATAACCCCTTTATCTCAGTGGAGTGGGCGTGGTGCTAGGCATTCAGTGGTTGAGACAGTTAGGCCCCGTGATCTGTGACTAGGCTTGTCTCACCATGGACTTCACATCAGGGAACTCTACAGTCCATCTACAAGGGTCCAAGGCCCATCAGTCTTGCAAACAAAGCAAATGGGAGATCCGGATCAGCCCATATTCATGCACATAGACTCAAATTGGACCAGCCCATCCTTAGCTAACAACAACTCAGATGGGCCTGGAGACTACCAAAGCCGCCTACAACAACTCCTCCAGCAATATGGCAGTGTGTTCAAAGAACCCCAAAAGCTTCCACCACCCCGAGAGCATGACCATCGCATTCCTCTCATGCCAGGAGCCGCCCCAACCAATGTAAGACCTTACCGATACCCTTATTTTCAACAATTTGAAATCGAGAAGCAAGTTCAAGATATGCTTGAGAAAGGAATAATACAACCCAGCCACAACCCATTCCCCTCACCGGTATTATTAGTCAAAAAGAAGGATGGGATGTGGCGATTTTGTATTGATTATAGGGCCCTTAACAATATTACCATTAAGGACCGATTTCCAATACCGGTCATTGATGAATTGCTTGATGAACATAGTCGGGCCACCATATTCTCAAAATTAGATTTACGAGTTGGGTATCATCAGATAAGGGTACTTGGGGAGGATGTTCACAAAACGGCTTTCAGGACACATGATGACCACTACGAGTTCTTGGTCATGCCATTTGGGTTGACCAACACTCCAACAACATTTCAAGCCTTAATGAACGACATATTCCGGCCATATTTACGTAAGTTCATTCTTGTTTTCTTTGATGACATATTGGTCTATAGCCCCAACTGGAAGGAACATTTGAATCATCTACAGGTCACCCTTGCAACACTTAAGTCCCATCAGTTGTTTGCTAAAGAGTCCAAGTGCTCCTTTGGACAAAACCAAGTATATTACTTGGGATATGTTGTAGAAAACAAAACTATTGCAGCAGACCCAGATAAAATCTCCAGTATATTGGGCTGGCCGCAACCCAAAAATGTGAAAGAATTGAAGGCCTTCTTGGGCCTGACAGGGTATTATCCCTGCTTCATCAAAAACTACGGCCTAATAGCTGCCTGTTTGACCCAATTACTGAAACGAGATGGCTTTCACTGGTCAGCCCAGGCCCAACAAGCTTTTGAGCAGTTAAGACATACTGTTTGGACACCTCCAACATTAGCACTGCCCGGTTTCACAAAAGACTTCATCATTGAATGTGATGCCTCCGGTCAAGGTGTTGGGGCTGTCCTCATGCAAGAAGGCCGACCACTAGCCTTTTTCATCAAGGCCTTGACATCACAAAGGTGGGCCAAATCAATTTATGAACGAGAATTAATAG